TTGCCCCTTGTCCTGTCGCTGGGCACCACTGGAAAGAGTCTGGCCCCGTCCTCCTGACCCCCACCCTGCAGATATTTATGGGCATTTCTAAGGTCCCCTCTCAGCCTTCTCTTCTCCAGGCTGAACAAGCCCAGCTCCCTCAGCCTCTCCTCGTAGGAGAGATGCTCCAGTCCCCTCCTCATCCTCGTAGCCCTCCGCTGGACTCTCTCCAGTAGCTCCTCATCTTTCTTGAACTGGGGAGCCCAGCACTGGACACAGCACTGCAGATGGGGCCTCCCTAGGGCAGTGTAGAGGGGAAGGAGAACCTCCCTCGCCCTGCTGCCCACACTCCTCTTGATGCACCCCAGGATCCCATTGGCCTTCTTGGCAGCCAGGGCACGCTGCTGGCTCATGGTCACCCTGTTGTCCACCAGGGTCATTCTGTTACCACTCCTGTATGGCCATTGCTGAGAATAAATACCTTCTTAGGACAGCTTGCAGTGCGGTGCTCGCCCCTCTGAGGTGCCCTTCTGCTGGAGGAGAGGGCCTCGGCAGAAACGGCACCGTCCGCTTCGTAGATCTACTCCTTGTAGCTGCTTGGACACTTAATGGTTTACTCTGGTGGCAGGTTTTTAAGGGCTTGCTTTTGATCTCTTGTTACATAAACTAGGCTCATCCCAGGAGTATGGACATAGTTTTCTGTCATATGTTGACAGAAATAATAATAGAATTGCAGAAGTTCTATCTCAACACAGCAACCACCTCACCCCCTCTGCCGCCTTGCCGGAGTCGGCGGGATGGGTGGTGATGGAAAAAGCCAGCAAGAACAGCGGGCCTTGCAGATCCTGGGTGTGTGGGGCTGGCAAAAATTAAAAATAGATCAGAAGACCATGGGGGAGATAAAACAAACCATTTTATTCGTTACTAATCATATTAGCGTTATGGCGAGAGGTGATATTTGTAGGTTCCACCATTTCAGCATCTTTTGGTTTTGCATTGGTGCCACTGTGTGTTCTGTTGGGTTTTGGGGTTTCAGATTAGGGATAATGTGACATATTATGTCTGATATAATCAGACATAAAGAATTGCATTGGAAGTGCTTTCTGTAGAGTAGGCTCTTACCTGGACAGGTTCATGGCTGCAGTCCGGCCAGGCTACCTGCTGGTCGCAGCCGAAGGACAGCAGTCATCCTCAGAGGAACCTTCAGCGGGCACTTGGTGCCCCCCGATCGCGTGTGGGAACCCCCTCTGGTTCCAAAGAAGGGCTTGGGGGCTTGGTGGAACAGCAGTAATGTACTGCTTCAGCGAGCGTTCCTGACGTGTGGACTGAGAAAGCTGCTGTTGGCCACGTGTGTCATCTGTTTCTCTTTTGAACGATAGTTGTCTGAAAAACTCCAAGACACGGAGAACGAAGCCATGGCGAAGATTGTGGAACTGGAAAAGCAGCTCATGCAAAGGAACAAGGAGCTGGACGTGATTCGGGTAAGCGCGGTGGCAACGGTGCGGTGGGGCGCGCGCGCCGGGGGAGCGATCTCCTGAGCGCTCTGTGCTGGGGAGGCAATGACCCTCGCGATGGGCCGAGGGGCTTCTGGTGGCTTCCGAATTCTGAACCGAGGACAGGTTTCAGGTAGAATTACAGAATGTTTGGGATTGGAAGGGACCTCTGTGGGTCTTCTAGTCCAACTCCCCTGCCCAAGCAGGGTCACCTACAGCAGGCTGCACAGAACCACATCCAGGGGGGGGCTTGAATATCTCCAGAGAAGGAGACTCCACAGCCTCCCTGGGCAGCCTGTTCCAGGGAAAATGAAGCTTTTCACAGAATCACAGAATAGTAGGGGTTGGAAGGGACCTCTGTGGGTCATCTAGTCCAACCCTCCTGCCCAAGCAGGGTCACCCACAGCAGGCTGCACAGGATCTTGTCCAGGCAGGTCTTGAATATCTCCAGAGAAGGAGACTCCACAACCTCCCTGGGCAGCCTGTTCCAGGGCTCCGTCACCCTCAGAGGGAAGAAGTTCTTCCTCATGTTCAGACGGAACTTCCTGTGCCTCAGTTTCTACCACAAGCAGAGTTTAGAATAGAAAACAGATATCATTTGAAAAACAAGTTTAGTGAATTACTATCATTTTGACCATCTCCAGTTATGCAGCAATCTTTTATCCTATATTTACTATGCAAAAGCAGAATAATATTTTCATTTTTGTTTTGCACCATTTGTGAGTTGCACAGTACTATGTTGATGCATAGTATAAACTTAGGAATAAAAGCTCCGTTTCTACATAACAAAACAGTACACCAAAGTCTAATAAGCAGAACTTGAATATTTTATTCAAATACCCTGGAAGACCCCACTCAGGAAGCTTCTCTCCTATGTTATCAACATTTCCTTTCAAATTTTTGGGTAGCAGTTTAACTTACATTTAGAATTCAGAATGTAATTAAAATCTAATAACCTAAATGTGTATATGTTTATATCGAGATATTGGAGAAAATTGCTGATTTTTGTGAATCTTCAGCATTTCTATTGTCCAAGTTTCTCACAGAACTTTCAGAGGCTTATATCAGATCAACCAATCAAAATATGGAGTTCTGGAGCAGTTCAGTTCATTTTCCAGAGTGAAACTTTGCAATCTGGTCATGTGAACCAATAAACCATTAAGGCAATTCTGTCTCTGAGCTAAACAGATGACTTTTTATCCTCAGTTTCTAAGTATATAAGGTACACAGTGACTTAAACTTGCCTGAAAAATAATCATAAACATATATTTTGAGTAAGACAGTGTGTGTGCGCTCAAAGGTGGACGTTGAGGCTCTTTGAGCGTGCCAGCAAACCAGTGAAGGAGACAGGTACGTCTTAGCATCCTCTCTGGTAAAGGCAAAGTGGAGGAAGCGTACCCGCGCCGTGCGTTGAAGACTAGCACAAGAAATGGGGGACATCATCAAAAAGTGGCGATGGGAAGTTCTGCACCCCCGGGTGTTGGTGCCCACGGGTGAGGTTTCCGCCAGGGCTCGGTCCTGTGCGCGGCCTCGGTGCTGCTGGCGTGGGACAGAGACACGATGAACGTGTCCTCACCAGAGACGACGCGTGGCTTGCAGCAAAGCTCAGCAGAAGGCAGTGCTGGTGCGGTGACCGTCCCGTGTCAGGCTGGTCGGCTTCTGGTGTTGGCCTTCTGGTTTGAGAGCACATGTGCAAATTCCTTGTTTCTGCGGCGTTCGCAGGAAGTCTACAAAGATGCAAATACCCAGGTTCACACCTTGAGGAAAATGGTGAAGGAAAAAGAAGAAGCCATCCAGCGACAGTCAACGCTGGAGAAAAAGATCCACGAACTGGAGAAGCAGGGAACCATCAAGATCCAGAAGAAAGGTGATGGCGACATCTCTATCCTGCCTGTTGCTCTGGCCTCCGGGACGGTGCCGGCAGCGTCAGAGGCCGTGGCTGGCAACTCTCTTGCACCGGGCGCTGGAGCTGCACCTTCGGTACCGTTGCCGCCACCTCCACCACCTCCACCTGCCTTAGCAGCAGCGTCTGAGACGGGTAAGGAGCCTTTTGGCCGGGTGCTGGAGGTGGTTTGCTGTGCTGGGGACAGTCACAGCAACCTTACACTGACAAAACCCCCTGCAGCTGTAGTGAGCCCACCAGCAGCTGAGGGTGCTGAGGTCCCCCAGCGTGGGTGCTCCCATGTTCACCTGATCCATCGCTCAGCCCTTCAGCTGACAAAAAAAATACTAGCGTCTTCGTTAGAGTGGTTTCCTCCCGTGTGAATACCCTGAGGTGCTTTGGTGGATGGCCCAAAGAACGCTTGGGCTGGCGTGGTGGTGGGGGGCGAGGTGGGTGCTGTGGCTTCTTCTGCAGGCGCTCGTGACGTTTGGAGCAGCGTTCGTGGTGACACCTCGTTTTTTCCTTCGTTTCTCAGTGCAAAACGGTC